GCATGCCGACAAGTTCTTTGCACAATTCGAACTTGTCTCTCGGTACCACCTTGGTCAGCTTATCTGCAGGATTCTCACTTATAGAAATCTTCAAGACTTCTAGAGATTCATTGTCTTCCATTTCTCGAATCCAATGATATCTCACCTCGATATGTTTTGTCCTTGCATGGTACATGGAGTTCTTGCTAAGGTCTATTGCACTTTGACTATCACAATAGACGACATACTCCTTCTGATGCAATCCAAGCTCTTGAAGGAACCGTTTCAACCATATCATCTCGTTGCCGGCTTCAGTAGCGGCAATATACTTCGCTTCAGTTGTAGAGAGTGCAACACACTTCTGCAACTTCGACTGGCATGATATAGCTCCCCCTGAAAATGTGAACAGGTATCCTGTAATAGATTTACGATTATCAAGATCACCTGCCATATCAGCATCCGTGTAGCCCTTCAAGATTGGATCGGATCCTCCAAAACACAAGCAATCTCCTACATTACCTCCTAGGTACTTGAGTATCCACTTGAATGCTTCCCAATGTTCCTTTCCAGGATATTCAAGGAATCTGCTAACAACACCAACTATATGAGCAATATCAGGTCTGTTGCATACCATTGCATACAACAAGCTTCCGACTGCTGAAGAATAAGGAACTCTATCCATGTTACCTTTCTCCTCCACTATTGTAGGACACATCTTCTTGCTCAACTTTAGATGACTAGCAAGAGGTGTGCTGACTGGCTTAGCATTCTTCGTGTTGAAGCGTTCCAGTACACGTTCAATGTACTTCTACTAAGATAGTCACAACTTTCTGCTTGTTCACTCTCGAACTATCTTCAGACCCGGAATTTGTTGTTCTGGGTCCAAGTCCTTCATATCAAATGACTTGAACAGATCTCCCTTCAACTTTGCGAACAGCCCCTTGTCTTTTCCTACAATTAACATGTCATCAACATACAACAACAATATAATAAAGTTATTCTCAGAAAATATTTTGAAGTATACATATGGATCAGAATAGGTCTTTATGTATGTTTGACTTTTCATGAATGAGTCAAACTTCATGTACCACTGTCTTGGTGCCTGCTTCAATCCATAAAGACTCTTATTCAATTTGCACACCATGTGTTTCATTCCAGCTACTTCAAATCCTTCTGGCTACTCCATACATATCTCATCTTCCAAATCTCGATGAAGAAATGTAGTCTTCACATCCAACTGCTTCACTTCAACATCTAGACTAGCTGCTAAGCTCAAAATTGTTCGAGTAGAAGTCATTTTGACAACAACTGAGAAAATTTCATCAAAATCAATACCTTTCTTCTGTTCGAAGCCTTTAACCACCAATCGAGCTTTGTATCTGACCAGCTTGCCAATTCTATCTTTCTTGAGTTTAAAGACCCACTAACATTTGAGTGGTCTTTTACCCTTTGGAAGTTCAACCAGCTTGTACATGCCATTTTTCTATAGAGATTCCATCTCTTCTTGCATGTGTTTCATCCACTGGTTCTTTTTTGTATGGGACAGCACCTCCTTAAGACTTTCTAGCTCCCCCTCATCACTGATGAGGACATACTCTATGGAAGGGTACCTGCATGACTCTACCCTTGGCTTCTCTGATCTCCTCAGAGGTTGAGGTTTTTCTTCTTCCTAAGCGGGGTACTCCACTTGCTTGACATCATCATTAAGTTGCTCCACCTGCTCAATAACCTCATCAGGTTGCTCCCCCTGCTCGGCAACCTCGTCGGTCGTACTTTCTGCAATTGTGGGATAGTTAGAAGAAGAAGGAGTGGTAACAAGGTTAGGGAGTATACCATTCTTTGTCTTCTCTGACTGGTCATCTACAGTTCCAACTTCGCTTTCTCGGAACTACATCTCTGCTTCTGATGACCTTCTTCTTTACAGGATCCCACAATCTGTATCCGAACTTTTCATCTCCATATCCGATGTATATGGAGGGAACGGATTTATCATCCAACTTTGTTCTTTGCTCATTTGGTACATGTGCAAAAGCTCTGCAACCGAACACCTTCAGATGCGAGTAGGACACCTCCTTGTTGGTCCAAACTCTATCTGGGTTGTCAAACGCCAATAGAACTGATGGACTCCTATTGATCAGGTAACAGGCTGTCTGAACTGCTTCACCCCAAAATGACTTAGACAGTTTAGCCATTCTAAGCATGCTTCTCACCTTCTCAACAATGGTGCGGTTCATCCTCTCGGCTACACTATTGTGTTGTGGGGTTCCAGGAACTTTCTTTTCATTTCTGATCCCATGACTTGAATAGTACTCTTCAAATTCCCTTGAAGTGTACTCACCTCCATTGTCACTTCGGAGACGCTTTAGCTTTTGGCTTGTCTCCCTTTCCACTTGAGCATGAAACTTTTGGAAAACTTAAAACACTTGATCTTTGGTTTTCAAAATATAAGCCCATAATTTTCGTGGAGCATCATCAATAAAAGTAACAAAATATTTGTTACCGCCCATCGATTCAATTTCTATTGGACCACAAACATCAGAATATACCAAATCAAGTATATTCAATTCTCTTTCAGACGACGCCTGAAATGAGACTCTATGTTGCTTACCAAATAAACAGTAGTCACAAGGTTTTACCATTGTACCTTTGGCATAAGAAATGAGTGATTTCCTAGCAAGAATCTGCAATCCCTTCTCGCTCATATGACCCATCCTTTTGTGCCACAAATATGCAGAAATATCATCTTGTGCTACGTTCAATTTACCTTGGCATGTTTCTATATTTCTCCTGTAAAACGTGCCACGAGCAACTCCCTTTTGCAATCACCAATGGTCCCTTGGTGAGTCTTCACTTTTAATTTGCAAAATAATTCTCGTATCCATCATGGTCAAAAGCAATTCCCGAGATCAAGTTCATCCGCAAATCAGGTACATGCCTCACGTCCTTTAGAACCAATGTGCATCCGACATTTGTCTTGATACAAATGTCACCGATCCCTGCAATCTTTGAGTAACTCACGTTACCCATTCTCACAGTTCCAAAATCACATGCTACATATCTGCAAAAAAGATCTCTTATCGGTGTGGCATGGTAAGATGTTGTTGTATCAATCACCCATTCCGACTCTTGACCTGACAAGTGTATGCATTCCTCTTCCTCATTTATAAACAGGACAACATTATCGTTGTTTTGCACCATGGCGGTTGTGTTGTCGTCATTCTTCTGGCCACTGGTTTCACCTTTGCCCATCCTTGGATTTGGGTAATCTCTTTTGAAGTGACCTGGTTGATCGTAATTGTAGCAATTTCTGACTCTTGATTTGGATCGGTTCTTAGGCTTCCCACGAGCTCCGGATCTACCATAGTTGCTCGAACTCCTTTGCTAACTCCTGCCTATACCTTCTGTGATGAGAGCCTGTCCTTGATTTACAGGCTTCTTTCTCATCTTCTCATCGAGTAGAAGAGCCGATGTGACATCTTTTAACGCAATAGTAGTCTTACCGTGCAGGATGGTTGTTGCCAAATTATCATACGAAGATGGAAACGAGTTCAATAGCAAGATGGCTTTATCTTCTTCCTCGATTTTCACTCCGAGGTTGGCGAGTTGTGTGATTAGTCCGTTAAACACATTTAAATATGACAAAAAATTCGTACCTTCACCCATGTATAGGGCGTATAACTGCTTCTTCAGGTACAATTTATTTGTGAGCATTTTGGACATGTATAGGCTTTCCATCCTAGTCCAAATGCCACGTGCATTGTCTTCATAAATGATGTTATTTACCACATCATCTGATAAGTGCAACCTGATTGCACTAGCAGCTCTTTCATCCAAGTCAGCCCAATCCTCAGCTTTCATGGTATCAGGCTTTTTGGCATCAGCATCTAGTACCTTGTGTAATCCTTGTTAGATGAGCAGATCCCTCATCCTTCTTCGCCATGTTGAGAAACCGTTATCTCCATTGAATTTTTCTACCTCGTACTTTACTCCGTATATTTTTTATTTTTCACCGAGTATAGTACTACCGATAGTGAATAGTATTTCTGTGAACGAGCAGAACCTATGCTCTGATATCACTTGTTAGGATAAACCCACACAGAAATAATATTCACGGTAATAAAAGCGGAATAATAACGTAGCACCGAGATTAACTAACAAAAAGAGTGACAACGACACCAAGATTTTTACGTGGAAAACCCTTTTGAATAAGGGGAAAAATCACGTCCCCGAGAGGAGCAACTGATAAGACTATAGTAAGGAATTTTACACTTTGTAGGTCCGAGTAAAATACTCCAAAGATCACTACAACACTCAAAAGAAATAACCCTCTTTTGATATTCCTACCTCATTCCATACGCTTACTCTCTATCTCACAAACTATTTTCTTATGTCTTGTATGTGAAACCTCACTCTTTCTACCTTACTATCAGATATATTTTTCCTCTGAGATTGGTGTGTAAAATGGGAAAATGGAGGCTTCTATTTCTAGAAAGAAGTGTTGTAACGAAAACCAATTTTGGTCAAAAACATGTTTCAGCGCCTACCACTAATTTTGGCATCTTGCAGATTTTCCTTCTTCACTATAGGGATGGACCCCACAATCTTTTTGTTCTTCATTATGAGGATGGACCTCACAATCTCCTTTTTTTCTTTGTTTCATTTATGGGGATGGACCCCACAGCCGGCTTGTTTGGCAAGTGCAATGTTTTGAACATTACATAGTACTAACTTAGAGCCATACAATAGTGGCTGTAGTATTATTATGTATCGTTTGATCGTGCAAATCTATTTGCCGAACAATTTGACAAACGAATCAGGATTCGGTAACCATCATGGATCTAATTTGAATGATAGGAGTACTACAGCCCATAATTACAGGACGTCATCGAGTGTTTGGCAAATAGCAAATGCTACATACTCTACACGAATATATACTGAATATTGATTGGTTGCTTGATTCCTGATTAATTCTTGAATGTTGCATATGATTCAAGATGGAGGTAGAAGCATGTAAACAAAAATTTCCGAGTCCCTGCAATGAGTAGGAATGCAATACTTTTCATGGAAACATAATGTATTTTAGGAGTAACTTTTACCTAGAAATTGGAGGGGCTGACAGACTTGTACACTCGTATACCACTTGTACAAGGATTGGCAATGGATTTATATACACACCATATTTGCCAGAAGCTATTACAGTCTGAAGAGGTAGCACCAGCTACATCATCATGCTATATACAAGACTTTGAACATGGAATAGGCCAGCACCACCACACGTATACTAATCAGCCACTACTTAAAACTGCTTATCTTTTGTACAGAATTGAAAAACATAATCATGTCGTCATAAACATCTTCTTTTGCCCTTATACTTAGGAGGAAGTCAATATGACCATATTCCTCAATATAAAGCAGATCTGGCTTGCGCTTCAACTGTTTTAGGGTATGTTGGACGTCTATGACATCTGCTAATGCGTCATTGCCCCCATAACCCATCCATAATGGCAATGAAGTGGGAATCTGGCTGATATCAAATTCTGGGGGCTCAGGTTGCTTATAGTGCATGAGGTTTTTCCACATTCCATAATCATACATAGCAAAATTCCCTTTACGAATCACTGCAAAATTTTGATCAGGAATATAAGGACCATAATGACAATATGAGCAGTTAGACAACATGTGCACGCACTCCAAGTAGCAATGATCATAACAACATCAACATATTTGGCGAAACAAAGGAGGTAAAACAGTGCCCTAGAGGATGAAAGTCCTCATTTAAACTTCGACCAGGAGACATTGACAAAATACTGAAGATAGCTGATTCAAGAAATTGAGATGAACAGGGAATAGGAGACAAACCCCACGGTATTGGTTCAGTGGTCAAGATTCTGGCTTTAAACCAGATGTGACATCCAGTCCTTGTAACCCCAACCCTATGGGCCAAGCTTACTATTCCCAATCCCACTTGGAAGAAAATAAGAATTACATACAATGATATGTATAATCTGAACGTATATACATACTCTGGAAGAGGTGATGCAAGTTTTTCGAGGATGATGGGTGAGGTTCATATTCAAGATAGAAATCAATCCGTGAATCATTGAAGCAACAATTCTTCCCTGCACGAATATTGATCAATGAGAAAACATGGGGAACGTAGTAAAGTTCATACTTTTTGAGATAGTTTCATGACTCAATTAGAAGACTGCAAAAATCATTGGGCAACAATTCTTTCCTGCATGAATATCTTAGGTGCCATATCACATAAAGCTTGGTTTGTGAGGGAAGAAGAAAAAGAGCCCATACTGCCATCAATAGTGATGAAGGATATCAAGTATGAACAAAAGAATATAACTGAATTAACATGACCAAAGCCAAGAAATTTTTTTCCACCTTGGAATCACATATTTTGATACTGAATGCCATGACCAAATGCCACTACGCCATAAAACCAACCAACCTGCTATCTAAGGATAAGCAAACATGCTATGCGTGAAGTTGAACATAACTATCAAGTATTTTTTTGATAAGGTAAGATAAATTTCATTAATAAAGTACCAAGAAGGTACTGCAAACAGTAAAGAAGAGATTACAGTGCAAGTAAAACTTGCTCAGATTTACTCCATGTGTTTCAATTTATGCAGCGTTGTTTGACTCGGTACGGGGTTTAAGAAAAAAAGGAAACTTTTGAAATTTGTGGTTTTAAAAGCTTGAACGGTAAAAGCTTTTGTGGGCCTTCAATTTGTGTGGCTATAAAAGCTTCTCATTAAAGGTAAAATGGGTAAAATGAAAAGTTTTGTTTCCCGATATAGAAATATGTCGTTCTTTTAGAATAGACTAATAAGGAAAGTGTGTCACATAAATTGAAATGGAACAAGGAGTTGTTTTTCAACCACAGTATATAAGCTAGGCAGAAAGCATGAAAAAGCTTGAGAACAATGTCTCTTATTCCTTATGTATTTATAGATACAATGCTACATTATGCGAGAGGAAAACAAGTTAAGGAAGAAAGAATTGAGTGAAAATGCAACTTGATTATTCCCTCAAGCTACTGGGTCTTAAATAGTTAACATACAAGTGATAAGATAGAAAGGAAAATATTCTACCTAATTACGAAATCAATCTAATTAAATCTGACTAATCATAATTGATACACTATCATTTACAAAATTATTGCAACATTCTTAACAATTCCTAATGCCATTGATTATCTGATACCATTCGAAAGAAAGTTGCCTAGTTATGTTACAACAACAATAACGCCTCAGTCGCAAACAAGTTGGAATCAGCGATATAAATTCTCCATTCTTCCTTTAAGCTTATTAATAGTTGCTAAAGAGGAGTAGGGATATCCAACGTGCTCAATGAAATCTAAAGGTATTGCTTCCAAGGATAGTCATATATAACTGACAAAATGGAAGTTTCTAGTGGGTAGAGCAATAAAAAAACCTTAAGCAGCAAACTAAGTTCATATAGAGGATATATTCAAATGACTTGGAGGCTGACTTTTAAGATGTTTCTAGGATCTACCTTCTATTCAACTGAAAAGCCTGCCTATGCCAATCACCTTTTTTTTGTTCTTTGCAAACAGCACAACCATTTACATATTGTTAGGGCCAATTCTTGCATAAGATAGTTGAACCATTCACCAGCAATTAACCTAGGTTATATGCTTATAATGGACAGCTAGTATCAGAAAATACTCATTTTGCCAAGCTGCAGAGACAAAAGAGCGAAAAAACATCTCTTTCATATGCTAGTGCCAAAATAATGTACTTTCAAGGTTTTGCACCTCTCAAGCACAAAGAATAGAGAAAAACAAAAGCATCCCGCTAAAGTTTTTCACAATACTAGTGAAAGCATACTTCAAACTCACGTGAGAAGAATGTAAAATGGAAAGAACCCCACCCACTCGTTCCTCAATCACGCAAGATTGCACTAAGTGTTGAATAATGGGAGAATGAAATAAAAGACAAATTACGTTTTCTAAACAAGAGATTAGAAAAACTAATCACCGCCCTTTATTTTCAGCATATTGAGCCCTTTAAATAGGTCTTACAACGAGTAAAATAGATGAGATTGTTAAGAAAAACCTATCCTAACTAAAATAGGAAAAAGAAATCTAGTAAGAATGGAAGACCAACTAACAATCCTAGTTTGACTAGAACTACAAATATAATCCTACTAAAACAACAACAAAAAAACCGGTGTAATCCCACAAGTGGGTCTAAAGAGGGTAGTATGTACGCAGACCTTACCCCTACCTTGTGAAGGTAGAGAGCTTGTTTCCGATAGACCCTCAAGTCAGTGTTGTGAAAAGCGCTCGCTTTAGCGCTTAAAGCGCAAAGCGAAGCGAGGCGACAAGTGAAGCGCTTCACCTATTTGAAGCGTCGAGAAGCGGATGCGAAGCATGAAGCAACAGAAGCGATCGCTTTTGTGTTTAAAACACTGCCAACGATCTTCTTAAGGGAAAAAATAAATAAAAAAACAGTTCTTTTATCACAATATCAGCAGTGACTAAAAAACTTAGGGTTTTCAGCACTCTTTAGCCTTCAAGGTTCTTCAAGGCTCAGGTATGATTTCTTTTCTTCCTCTTTCTCCATCTCCTTCTCCTCCTCCTCCTCCTCCTCCTCCTCCTCCTCCTTCGTCTTTTTCTTTTTCTTTTTCTTTTCCTTTTCCTTCCTTAAAATTGCAGCGAAATGTTGCCAAAGTTTTTTTTCTTCTTCGGGTCTTCTTTTTCTCATTCTCTTCTTCTTCTTTTTTTCGTTTCTGGGCTATAAATTGAAACGAGTTGCTGCCAATTTTTCTTAATGTTCTTCAGTTCTTCTTTTTCTCCTTCCCTTCTTCTTCTTTTGCGTTTGTGTTGTGATTGCTCTAGTAGTTTCTGTGTTGTGACTGCCAAATTTTGAATTAAAATTTTCAGTAGTTGAAGCTTTTGGAGAGCGTAGACGAGGAGGAGAAGAGGAAGAACAGGGAGCGGTATAAGGTGGCTGAGAAGGAAGTGAAGTTGGCAGTTACCACGACTAAGACTGTCGCGTTTGAACGCTTTTATGAAGAACTTGGAAGCAAAGAAGGAGATAAAAATTGTACAGGCTAACCAAGGTGCGAGAAAGGAAGGCTTGTGACTTGGACCAAGTGAAGTGCGTCAAGGACGAGGATGGTAGAGTGTTGTTAGATGAGGCACATATTCAACGAAGATGGCAGACTTACTTCCATAAACTCTTGAACAAAGAGGGGGATAGGAACATTGTGCTGGGTGACTGGGTGACTTAGAACACTCCGAGAGTCGTCGGGACTTTGGGTATTGCAGACGTATAAGAGCTGAGGAGGTAGATAGGGCTATGCGTAAGATGAGCAAGGGAAGGGAAGAGAGAGCGGGCCAGACGAAATACCGGTTGAGTTTTGGAAGTGCGTGGGTAGGGCGGGCTTAGAGTGGCTCACTAGGTCGAAGAAGTATTGGGGAGAGATGATTAGGCGAGACATGGCGTTGCTCCAGCTTACTAAGGACATTACCATGGATAGGAATGTGTGAAGGTTGAGAATAACGGTAAAGAGTTAGGTAGTCGAGCTTTGTCCGTGTTTGTAGCATCAGCTTTTATACATCACTTAGAGCCCATTTGGACATAAGAATTTTTTCACTTTTTTTTTCAAAAGATATTTACTTTTTTCAAAATCAGTGTTCGGCGATAAAATTTGCAATTTTCACTTGAAGATGAATTTTGGAATTTTTCGAATATTTGAAAAACTCCAAAAAACTGTTTTTCAAAATTTTCACTCAGATCACTCACAAAAATTCCAAAACAATCCAAAATTATATTCATGTCCAAACACAACTCTAATTTTCAAATACCATTTTCACTTAAAGAAATTTCACTTTTTTTTTTGAAATTTTACAATTCTTATGTCCAAACGCCCACTTAGGGTCCTTAGCGTATTTTCGTATCCCTAGACTTCTGTTATTACTTGCTACTACCTTTGTTTCGGTTTTCTGTTTGCATTCCTTAATGTTAGTTTTGTATTTTCGCTTCGGTTGTCAGATTTGGTTTGCTTGTTATTGTCTCTTCCATTTATCTTTCCTGAGCTGAGGGTCTACAGGAAACAACCTCTCTACCTTCTTAAAGGTAGGGGTAAGGACTGCGTACACTCTGCCCTCCCCGGACTCCACTTGTGGGATAACACTAGTATGTTATTGTTGTTGTTAGTATTTATTTATTTTGGTTTTCTTTTAATTCCACTTTACTTCAAAAAGGCGAGCGATTCGCTTCTCGCTTCACGCTTTAAGCGAAAAGAGGCTTATCGCTTTTCCTCGCGTCACGCTCCTCACAACACTGCCCTCAACTCAGGAAAAGCAATTCTTTTTATCAGGAAGCCGTTTTACAATTAGTATGTCACCATTCACTTTGATATTTTACCAAACTTAATTCGCACAGGATAGTAACCAATTTAATTAGCATAGGATAATCCTACTAAAACAAGAACTATATTACTAGGAAATAAGAAATAAGAAATCCTAATATTGAATGGATTCTTGATCTTCTTGAATTTCATGGATTCTTGGCCTTCTCGATCTTGCATCACAAAAGAAGCTAGAACCGACCAAATTCTTTTTCACATCACTAAGCTACAGCCAATCCTTCACACTCCAGCTTAAGAAGTATAATAAGAACTTGTAATAAGAAAGAAGGAAATGCATAGAAAGTGAGGATGGATTCTTGGTCTTCTTGAATTTGCATCACAAAAGAATTGTTTTTTCTTGAACTTCTTGAATTTCTTGGATTCTTGGCCTTCTTGATCTTGCATCACAAAAGAAGCTAGAACCGACCAAATTCTTTTTCACATCACTAAGCTACAGCCAATCCTTCACATTCCAGCTTAAGAAGTATAATAAGAACTTGTAATAAGCAAGAAGGAAATGCATAGAAAGTGAGGATGGACAATGAAGAAGAACCTGTAATAGCACTCAGCCAGATGTCACAGTGAATATGCCCTTCACACATCATATCCATGATTTGAGTCCCCATATTACTGCAAACATTATAGTAAAATGTGTCATAACTTTAAATAAAGGCAATAGAAGATCATGAGAATACTGGACAAAGAAGTGAAAGATTTAGTGGAACCTTTTGAAATTAAGCTCATGGATGCCCAATCCAAGAATTATCTAATTCATAGCATAAAATTTGTCAGAGTATTGTTGAAGTCATATATGTAGTGAAACTAACATGGCGACACACTATTTCAGCACCTCATCAAGACGCATTTTGACCAATCTAAGGACAAAATTTGTGGTGATATGATCTAAATATGATATAGGACAAAGGAGTGCTGCAGCTTTGACCATCTCCACGATATCTGGCTTAGTAAAAGCAGCAAGAGACATGATTGTTCCCTGAAAATAAAAATGTAAAAACAAAAAATAAAAAAAAATAAAAAACATAAGATACTATGGCAAGGAGAGAAAACCCTTATAATTACATAAGAACATGGATGCTACGAAAGAATAAAACCTGTGAATGTCCAACAACCAAAATTTTTGCTTTTGTGATTGAATTTACATATCGAATCATTTCGGCAAGATCATAAAGAGCCAACTCTTCCCAGCTCCAGTCCCAGAATTCCTAAGACAAATTCAACCGAGGAAGTAAGACACTTCCATTACAAAAAGTTGTGTATATTAGTAACTCGCACATCATCAGAAACTGCAAAGAAACAGGCAGGAACTGCATATGTGATTTCTGGAAGAAATTATTCTTTTGAGATGGCTTTTGGGGAAGAAATTATACTTTTATAAGAACAAGGAAATGCATGAATCTCTGGCAGTAACTAGCACATCCTCCGTCCAATAGGAGAAAAATATTGGCTAAGCGTGGAAAAGAGTTTCACTAGCATATTCAACACCATTAATAGAAGTATATTAGACTGATTAAGCCGTGGAATTAGCCACTGATGCTTGCATCAAGGCTGCTTACACCACACCAGTGTTATCAAAGGCGCGCCTAAGCCCTGAAGCGAGGCTCAAAACATGTTGAGCGCTTCACCTCGCTTAGCGGGCGCTTCAGTGTTGTCACCAATGCTCTAAGGCATACTTTCCCGTGCCGATGAGCGTAATCCTGAAGAGGCGACACTAAACAATTGTTATTTCACTTTATCGTAAATTTTATTCAATTTCTTTGTCCATATATTTGGTATTCATGCTTATAGATATTAGTGTTAGACTACACATACATTTTTGTAGTTTTTCTCCATTTGCGCCTTTCTTCGTTAAAGCCCACTCTTTATTTGCGCTTTGCGCTTAAAGCCCCAACAGACCATAGAATTTTTTTGCGCCTTTCGCCTTTGATAACACTGCATCACACCCCCTTGGAGTGCAGTCCTTCCCCGGACCCTACGTGATCAGGGGATGCTTTGTGCACGGGGCTACCCTTTTTTTTTATATTAGACTGATTAAAAAAGAAGAAAAAGTATACCAAATAATGACTTAGGATTTCTATGAAGATTTAATTTGGAAAGAAGAACATCATCAAAGTTTCATCTTCCAAACTGAAATCTCAAGCCAATTTGAATTCTTAAAAAATTGTGTATAATATGCAAATCAGTATTACTAGTAAATTTGTCAAAGTTCTGAGACAACACTGAAATAAAGTGTCTCGTGAATTGCAGGATGAAAGAAGTACATTCATTTGCAAGCAAACCAAATCATGTCATTTCAAATCTAATGAAAACACTATGAGCCCGTTTGGACATAGAATTTTTTTTCCTTTTTTCCAAAAAAATTTCACTTTTTTCGAAATCAGCGTTTGTTCATAAAATTTCCAATTTTCACTTGAAGATGCATTTTGAAAATTTTCGAAAATTTGAAAAACTCCAAAAAGTTATTTTTCGTAATTTTCACTCAAATCACTCACAAAACTTCAAAAACAACACAAACTGAAATTTATGTCCAAACACAACTCTAAATTTCAAATACCATTTTCACTTGAAAAAAAATTTCACCATTTTTAGGAATTTTACAATTCTTATGTCCAAACGCCTACTATATTAGGAGTGAAAGTAAGTAGGGTACTAAACAATCAACAGGGTCATGGCTCAGATTGCTTTCCATTTTTGAGATTGAACCACTGAATGGGGATTCAATCACTTGACCCTTGATCTTTTTGAGGAAAAAAATAACATATTAACCTTGCCCCTTTCATCTTACAATCCGCTTCAAATTAATTCTTATTTTCTTAATACAACACACACGCACACACCTCATCCTTTGTGAACGTATACCCTTGAATAGTTCCTTCAGCCCATTGAATATGTCTCTAAAAGATTACGTCGTTGTGCACACAAAAAATCATAAAAAGACCTACCGGTTTCTCTTTTATGCATTCTTGGAGAACCCTAGCCGTGAGGCTTTCCTGGTCCTTCATTATCAGCATTTCTCTAGCTTTTAATCACCCTATCCCCACTCCCCCCTTTCATGCAACCAAAAAGTCTTAGGTGTAATCATGAATGGTCATCTCTCACCCCACCTCCATTGTCATCAGTGTTGTACCCAGCATTGATACTGGAATTACCACTATTTTTCACCACATATACTTCAACCAAAATTACACAGAAAAGAAAAGAAACTATGGAGAGGGCTCGATGATGGTATCATGGAAAGAATATATTTTCTTCACGGACAACCTAACTGGGTATTGATTAGGATATTTGTTTAATTGTTTCTTGTAAATCTTGTTTTCTCTATATGAATTAATCTTGGCTGCAAGCAAAATAAAAACAACTCCCGAACTGATTCATGATAC